ACAAATGGGCTAAGACATATGGTGACTATGTTTAACCTTTTGAGGACCTGCCAGACTGTTTTCCAAAGCAGCTGCGTTATTTTACATTTTCACCAGCAAGGTATGAGACTTCCAATCTCTCTACATCCTCACCCAATGTGTTATTAACAATACCTTTGATTATAGCTAAACTATAAGAGTGTCGAACATGAAGTGGTATTTCATTGTGGTTTTGATTTGCATTTGATGATTGAGTTTGAGCATCTTTTCATGTGCTTATTGGCCATTTATATATCTTTTTTGAAGAAATATCTATTCAAAATTTTTGCCCATTTTAAAATTAGGTTGTCTTTTTGTAAGACTTCTTTTTTATTTAAAAACTTTTGTCTATCTATCTGTCTATGTATCTATCATCTATCTATCATTTATTTGAGTTCGGATCTCACTCTGTTGCCCAGCCTGGAATACAGTAACATGATCGCGGCTCACTGCAGCCTCAACTTTCTGGGCTCGGGGCTCAGGTAATACTTCTCCCCTAGTCCCTCAGTAGCTGGGATTACAGGTGCATGCCACTACGCCTGGCTAATTTTTCGAGTTTTTGTAGAAATGAAGTCTTGCTATGTTGCCTAGGTTGGCATTTTTTAGTTTTTAAAGATAGATCTTGTTACATTGCCCAGGCTAGAGTGCAGTGGTTATTTACAGGTGCAGTCATTGCATACTATATCCATTTTGAATTAATTTTTGTATATGGTGTGAACCAGGGGGTCCAGTTTCCTTCTTTTGCATGTAGATATCTAGTTGTCCCAGCACCATTAAAAAAAATATATAATTTCCATTTCACTTTTTTTCCAGAGGACAAGTCGTTCTCCAGTCCTTAAGGACTCAGCCCCTTACATTGACTTTGGTGGAGGTCGTGGGGCAGCACCCGTGGGTCTAAGTTGGGATGGGGGTGTTTGGTGCTTTTGGGCTTCACAAGACTGATTTCTGACTACCTTGCTGTGAATGACACTACTCACATAGTAATGTATCTTCAGATACAGCTTCGGAAGCGCACATAGGCATTGAGGAGACTTGCTCCAGAAATGTCCCCAACAACTGCAGGCTCCGCTATGTATCAAGTGATGAGCTTCTTAATAGCCTTGTCCTTGGACACCCATCAGGCTGCAGTTCATGCAGCGAATAGACTACACGTGTTCATGGCCCTTTTTGGCATGACCACTGTTCCTTCTTTCTTTTGTCATCTTGGAAGCGAGGATGCGAAAGAGGTGCACCATTTGTTAATAAGACTTTTCTCCATCAAATGGTCTTGGATCCTTAATTATTTATTTATTTATTTAGAATCAGGATCTCTGTCGCCCAGAATGGAGAGCAGTGACACTATCATGGCTCACTGTAGCCTCGACCTACCGAGTAGCTGGGACTACAGGCATGCACCACCATGTCTGACTAAATTTTTAAAATCTTTTTGTAGAGATGAGGTCTTGTTATGTTGCCTAGGTTGGTTTCAAGCTCCTGAGCTCAAGCAATTCTCTCATCTCAGCCTCTCAAACTACTGGGATTACAGGCGTGAACGACCATGCCCAGTCAATTTATTATTATTTTAGAGATAGAGTCTCACTTTGTTGCCTAGGCTGGAGTACAGTGGTACAATCATAGCTCACTATAACCTCAAACTCCTGGATCAAGCAATCTTCCCACCTCAGCCTCCTGAGTAGCTAGGACTACAGGCATGTCACTATGCCTGACTAATTTTTAAATTTTTCTTAGAAGGGTGTCTTACTATGTTGCCCTGGCTGGTCTTGAACTCTCGGGTTCAAGCGATTCTCCTGCCTCAGTCTCCCAAAATGCTGGGATTATAGGCATGAGCCACTTTGATGGACTGAACTTAAAATCTTTCTAAAATCCATGTTTCACTCAGTATAATCTCTTCAGGAAAAGTAGTCATTTCTCTTATTTGCCTGCAAGTTCCTGGAGTATTTTCTGAGTTCAGTATTACAGGGTGAGTATTACTTTCTCTCATGGTATTTGGAAATGTTTCCTATCTGGCATGCAGGAAGAAGACAGCAGGTCTCAGTTCTCAAGAACTGGCTACTCTATCTTCTTGCCAGTCATATAACTTTCAGTAAGTTACTCACCTCTTCAAGCCTTGGTCTCCCCATCCGTAAAAGCCTAAAAAATAATGACCATTTTTCATGTGGTTATTGATCAGGATCCAATGAGATCATGTGGTTGGTGAGTTTCAGAGCAACTGACAAGATACTCATTTCAGCTACATACATTGACCCTTTCCGCCTAGAGTATGAATCATTGTGAATGAGGGATTGTATTTTCCACTGGACTTCACTGATGCTTCTCAAATGCTTCCATCTTCTTTGCCATTACCTCTTAGATTGTATCAGAGAATTCTGCTCACTTTCACCTATCCTCCACAACAGGAACTGCTCTAGCTTTCTGGGTCTTTTGCTTTCCTTCCCTAAACATTTTTCCAATGGTTGTACAAAGAGTGGGTTCATTGAAATGTCCCTTTGATATCATTCCTCACAGAGTGTATTGGACTGGACAGTGTGATCAGCATGTAAATAACTCTTTGGCTTTACATGAAAAGCCAAAGAGTAGGAGCTATCTTATCTACTGTCTTGTTGGTTCTCACAGAATCTCTGGAGGTAGTGTTATGATATCTGGTTTTATTATTGACTATCTGAAGCTAAAAAGTCAATGTTGGAATCAGTTAAAAATGGACATTGTTCTACAGAATGTTGCCACAGGTGTGTAACTGCAGGAACTAGAGTTGGGTAGAAACAGCCAGAAGGCCTGGGTTTGAGTCCTGGCTCTGCCACTTAATGGCAAACCCCTGAATTTCTCTCTTCTTCCATCTCCTCAGTGGTAAAACAGAGATGAAAGTAATAATACCTTTTGCATGTAGATATCTAGTTGTCCCAGCACCATTGTTTAAAAAAATATAATTTCCATTTCATTTTTTTCCAGAGGATAAGTTGTTCTCCAGTCCTTACACTGACTTTGGTGGAGGTCGTGGGGCAGCACCCGTGGGTCTAAGTTGGGCTGTGGAGACTAAATGAGAAAGGTCCTTATGACATCTCCAGTGATGTGATTATTTTGAGAACCCAGCAGCAAGACCTAATTCCTAGAGCTTTGGGCCTCAGATGTGGGTTGGCAGAGGAGGAGGAAGGAACACTAATGCTGCAGGACTCTGTGGGTAATGGGCCTCCCTTTTCTAGAAGGGGCTGGCCTCAAGACTTTCATTTTTCTTTTTTTTTGAGTTGGAGTCTCACTCTGTCACCCAGACTGGAGTGCAGTGGCCGCTCCCAGCCACCGCAGCCTCGACCTGCTGGGCTCTGGCGATCCTTCTGCCTCAGCCTTCCGAGTAGCCGGAACTACAGGCACGTACTACCACACCCGGCTCATTTTGATTTATTGTAGAGATGAGGTTTCGCCAAGTTTCCCAGGCGGGTCTCGAACCCGCGGGCTCAGGCAATCCACTCACCTCAACCTCCCAAAGGCGCGGGATTACAGGCTGAGCCACCGAGCCCGGCTGACTTTCATTTTTCTAAGAATTCCTCTCTCCAGGAAAAACTCATCCTTTCCGACTCCAGGAATTTGTGCTCCTTGTGCCCTTTGCCTAGAGTTGAGCACTGTGTGAGGCCTCTGCCTGTCTCCCAGACCCTTGCCTGGGCTTCCTGCCTCTGAATGACCTCTCACCTCTTTCCAGAAGCAACCTCTTGCGGCTCCAAACCACTGGTTTCTTTCTCCTCTTTACTATTCTTAGTGGTAGGTGGACTTTAAACTCCTTGAAGGATGTCTCATTCCCTAAGTATCCAGGATGGTACTGGTCTATAAATCGGTCACAGGAAACACTGCTTAAAGAATGGAGAAATATTACTCAACAACTTTTTGAACACCTACCATATATCAGACTTTGCTGTTTCAGAGTTGAGGAAGACATGGTTCCTGCCCTCAAGGAGTTTATCGTCTAGTGCAATAGTTTAAGAGAATACATTATCTTGTTTAATCCTCATAGTAACTCTTGAAGGAAGTTGAAAGCTAAGAGGCTTGCCTAAAGTGGTAAAATCAGTCCAGGGCTGGTTTGAGAGGCAGGCCCTAGCATTGAGGTGGAAGTCCTGGTCTCCTGTGGCTACCTCCCAGGGTGTCAGGAGAATCCACTCCTCCTTTCCAAGGGAAATGTCCAAGGGTTAGAAGCAGTTGGGAAGGTGGCCATTGTGTGCATCGATGAAGAGTTGTAGCTCTGAGATCTAATCCTATCTCAGCATTGTCACTTCTTAGCTTTGTAACCTTGAGCAAGTGACTGAGTCTCTCTGAGTCTCTCTGAGCATCAGTTTTCTCATCTGTAAAAGAGTAATAATACTGTGTTGGGCATCCGTTGTTTCTTCCTGAACAACATCCAGTCCCACTTCTGCGAATAGTGCCCACGTTTTGCTTTCCCTCTCCCCATCTGGAAGTAAAAGGCGTGGGGAAAGCAATTTACTCAAGCCAGTGATGTGCTCTCTGGAAATGAACCTTCAGTTCATTGAATCTCGCAGTTCATTCATTCATCCAGGGAAAGCCCTGACAAAAATGCTACTGGTTCCTGCTCCCTGGACCTGGAGGCCTCTCGGTGCCTGAACTTTTATGACTAGTTCTTCTCCTTCCATTCTGTGAGCTCCCGCCATAACCTGCCCCACCACATCTAATCAGTTCCCTTTTTGCTTAAGTTCATCAAAGCCGGTTTTTATTGCTTACAACAGCAACAACAACAAAATCCCCTAATTAATCCAAACACCTACCTTGCATGTTGTAAGGATTAAATGACAGGAAATGTGTAAAGCGCCTAGCCCAGTCCTGGCAGCATAGCAAGCAGTCAGTAAGTGGCCTAAATGGTTGTCTCTAAATGACCACTGGGGGCGGGGCATGGGAGGGGGAGGGGACATGATTATTGGTTGGGGCTGAACTGAGAAAAACCCTCCACCAAGAGATAGAAGGACAACAGAAGGGAGGGAAGCCCAGGCTATGATATGCTCATTTATTCAAAATGTCTTTATTGAAACAGAATGATAGAGCAAGAAAGAATGAGGTCTGGGAGGATGTCTTTGGGCACAGAATGGAGCCCAGACCCAGCGATTACAGTGTGGCGCTCTCTCCCTGTCCCCTGACTCTTGCCGAGGAAGTGAACACAAAGCAGCAGGGAGGAGACAGGGGTGGGAACAGCCCTCTGAGCTCTCCTCCATGGCTGGCGTGAGGTGCCTCCGAGCCTTCTGGGCAGCCCTGCTTTCCTCACTCAGTCTTCTCGATCTCCTCGCCAGGGCCCTATGCCACCTTTCTATTTGGGCCAGCCTCTCGCCAGGGGGCTCAGAGGCCTCTCAGAGGGCAGGGTTGGGGGTGGCAAGCAGTGGGACATGGTCACAGCGGTTAGGCGGTGGCTGCCGCAGCAGGGAAGGCCTGCGACACAGCTCTCCGTCCCGGAGCACCTCGGGCAGGAGCTTGCGCTTGGTCTCTGGCAGAAGCATGATGCTGAGGATGCAGAGGAGGGCACAGGCTGCCAGAACCACATGCTGCAGGAAGGCTCCGTGGCCCATGTGGAGGCGCTGGGCTGGGCCGCTCAGCCCCCCAAGCGCCCCTAACGCCATGATCAGGCCCAGGCCACGGCCCCTGGGAGAGATGAGAGAGGCACTCAGCCTATTGCCGTGGGCCTCCGCCCCAGCCCTTCGCCAGCAGCCTTCCCTCTTGCAGCCTTCAAGACCCATCCTCAGAGGGAAGCCAAGTCCTGCCCCGGCCCTGGCTGCACCCCTGCTCTCACCGGACAGTGGTAGGGATGACCTCAGCAGCAAGGAGGGTGCTGAGGATGGCAGCAGCTTGGGAGGAGAAGAGCCCAAGGACGGAGAAAGTGGTGATGGCGGCCTCGTTGAGATCTGGAGGACCAGGAGGGATGGTATGAGTGGAGGTGAGGAGAGCATGCCTGGCCTACTCCCCTGTGTTATCCCCTTGGCTCTCTGACCCCAGGCCTCTAGCTGGGTGGGCTCTGAGTAGTCTCTAATTGACGGGGAAGAACAGACAGGGTTGTGTGGCCAGGTGGAAGCTTGCAGAAGATCTGAGCAAGGGCTGGGGCTTGTCTTGGGAGGCTTGTGCCAGAAGCACTTTTGGGGGGTTCCCCTGCTGAGCCCACACTGTGGGGAAGGTAGGATGCTCACAATCCCACAGGCCCAGCAGGACCAGGGAAGCAATCCCAGTGAGGGTCATCGAGAGGAGAAGGATGCCCCGGCGGCCAAATCGGTCCACGGTGACCCCCAGGAATACACAGGCTAGGGCTGCTGTGCCGCTAGCCAGCAGGGAACACAGGTAGAAGTCCGATGGGCTCCCTCCTCCTCCCACAGGCTGGTAGCAGTGGCGAATGGCATGGGCAATGAAGCTGTGAGAAGGGGTGGGGAAACAAAGAACAGTGTCTGAATCCCCATCCACAGCCTCCCACAGCCCTGGTTGTCCTCTGCAGGGGTCCTTGGGCCTTCCCACCACCCAGCCATCCCCCATCCCATCTACTGGCCTGGCCCTCAGCTCAGACACCCAGGCTCACTTGGTGAAGCCCAGGATAAGCAGATTTTTCCAGATGTTGCGGTAGTTGAGGAGGGAAGCGAAGGAAAAGGAAGATGTTGCCGGGAGAGGGCAGGTGTTCTCCAGGTCTTTGGGAGAGAGAGAGGAGCTGTCTGTTAGAAGAAACAGCTGAGAACCCAGTATCTTCCCACATGGGTGGTGGGGACTCTGGGAGAAGGAGACACAGCTGCAACCAGGCAGAGGCCACCACCATGTGCACACGTGAGGCGTCACTCATAGGAACCCTGGCTCTTACCCTGCAGGGCCTCCTGGGCCTCCTCCCCCAGCATCTGCCCATGGGGTCGGTTTCGCTCAGCCAGGATCCTCAGCACAGATTGAGCCTCCTCGATCTGCCGCTTCACTATCAGCCACCGTGCGGACTCCAGAAACAGACCAGGCCAACTGGGGGCAGGGCGAGGAGGGATGATCCACGGATGGAAACCTCCCACCTCGGATGGACTGGGGCTGGGGCAGAGGGTAGCTGGAGAAGAGGAGGGGTCTCTGGACTAGGGCTAGGCTGGAGGCAGAGATGGGAATTGCCAGACGACAGCTGAAGGGCAATACTGACCCGTAAAACAGGAAGAGGATGCAGGGAGCGGTGATCATTCGCTGCAGAAATCGCCAGTCCTTAGAGACAAGGGCCAGGCCCAGGAACAGGAAGTGCCCTCCCACCCCCACCAACTCCCCTGCCAGGGCCACCCGAAGCCTCTGGGTTGGATCGCACAGCTCCAGGCCTGGAGACACAGCAGGGATGGAGGGAGAAAAGAGAGGCCAGGGAGGAAGGAGGCATGAGAGAGAAGAGGAGAGAGGGAGGGAGGAGGACAGAGAACGAAGTCAGACCCTGAGTGGAGGCTGCAGCCATCACCTCCCACAGACTAACCTCTGGGTGGCAAGGAGCGGAGAGATTGTTCAGTCCTCTCTCCTCTCCTGCTCAAAACTGGGAGGGCTCTAGGGCCAGAGCCCCTGATGGGCGTTCAGCATTCCCAGTTCACAGGCCCTTTCACCTCAGGCCTCTCATTTGGCCTTCACGGCAACCCTCGCCCAAGGTCACACTGCTAGTCAGGATTTCATTTTCTAAATATGATGCCATTCCCTGACAGCAGTAAGATCAGGGCAAAGACAGCTTGAAAGATTTTGGGGTGGGGGAGACAGGTGTGGAGAGAAGCAGAACCTCTTGGTCCTTCAAAGACCCCGGCAGAAAGACAGCTGAGACCCTAGGCAGCTGAAATTTGGGGCTGAGGAAGGCCTGAGGGGGACCCTAGGGGCAGTGGGGATGGCCTGGAGATGCAGACAGGCGTGTGTGAGACCCAAGGAAGGGCTTCCAGGAAGGTGCCACTTACGCATCAGGTAGACGCCCAGGTCCACGCCAGCAAGCAGAAAGCCCAGGAGGAATCGGAGGGCCATGACGCCTGTAGAAGAGCCCGCAGCAGCCCCTCCCACTCCACAGGGGCCCACCAGCCCCAAGGTCAGCAGCACAATCCCACGACGGCCAAACCTAGAAAGCGGGGAGGGCTTCTGGTCACTCCCTGTGGGGAGGGGAGTTGCTGGGTAGGGCCCAGCTTCCCACTTCAGAGCTGGAGATATGCGGATGAGGCTCTGGGAGCAAGAGTCGCCCTGAGGTGAGAAAAGATGAGAAGGGATGGAGACCGTGGGTGGGTGAGGTCTGGCTACTGGGCACTGGGTTGTGACTATGATTCTGTGGGGGTGTGGGACCACTGACTCTTGGGGATGGCTATTGGCCAGAGATGAGGGCAATTGTCCATGGATGTGAGATCAACCGACAGACAGGATAGGATGTTGCTTGGGGGATTTGGGGCCATTAATCCTTAGGGATAGAGCTATTGGGCAGTGGGAGTTTGTCTTGTTCAGACTGGTCAGAGGAGATGGGGATCTCTGATATATAAGGCTAGAGCTATTAATCTGAAGAGGTGAGACCACTGGCCACTTGTACATGGGGATAGTACTGATTAGTGCAGATGAAGCTACTGATATTTGGAGACTGAATAATTGATTTCTAGGGATGAGGGTATTATTCCATGGAGTTGGGACATGAATTTATTAATACACAAGGATGGCCAGTGGGGATGGACCACTGGCCAGAAGATGGAGCTGCTGATCTGTGGGAATGGGTCTACCAATCCATAGGGCAGGACTATCGAACAGTTGGGATGAATCTATTAATCCACGGGCATAATCAGTAAGAATAGGGCCATAGCCTCAGAGAGACCAGGGAGATGAGACTGTTGATAAGGGATGATGATCACTGATTAAGAGTTAGTGAGGACAGGGCTACTGATCCTTGGGGGCTGGGCTATTGATCTTTGGGGATAAGACCACTGATCTATGGAGATAAGGATTGGGAGCCATTGGTCATTGGAAAGGGGGGCACTGATCACTGAGAGTGAAGTTACTGACCCAATGGGGTGGGGCATTTTTTCTGTGAGGGTGGGCTTATTGGTTAATATGGTAATGGCTACTGATTTTAGGAGACTGAATTATTGATCTTTGGAGATGAGGTTATTATTCCATAGGAATGAGGCTACTGATCTGTGGCAATGAGGCCACTGATGCATAGGGATGGGCTATTGACCTGTGGATTTAGAATCATTGGCCTATAGGCGCGTGTGACTATTGGGCAGTGAGGATGGGTATTGATTTTAAGGAACTGGGCTACTGAGTGTTGGGATCCTTTCGATCCATGGGAGTTGAGCTGTTGATCCATTTGGATGGGACTGCAGACCCGTGGGGATGAGTCATAACCCACGAGGACGGTCAGTGGAGTTGGAGCTGGGGTGATGATGTCCAGAGTCAGAGATGGGATTTTTGATTTGTGGGAAGAGTTACTGGGGATGGGCTGTTGCTCTTCGCAGCTGAAGCCACTGATTCAAGAAGACAGGGATTTTGGTCTGAGGGCCCCGAGGATCCATGAGGGTGGGACTATTAATCTGTGGGCCATTGTCTGATGAGGGTGGAGTCATTCAGTGGCAGGCGTAGGGCTGTGGGTTATTGGGGTATGAGAGTATTGTTCTTTGGAGTCAGTTATTGAGTCGTGAGGGAGGAGCCACTGGTCAGAGATAGGGTAGTTTGTAAAGCTGGTCAGAGGGAATGGAGCTGCTGCTATGTAGGAATATTGGAATTAACATAGTGGGAGTGGGGCTGATAGTGGAGGTGGGGTCATTCCTTCTCGTGTGCAAGGGGCATGGAAGGAGTCTTTCTTGATGGGGAGTGAAGCTGAGACCCGGGTAGATCACTGAGTAGAAGAAGTCCGGAGCAGACTGCAGAGTCCAGCGAATCGCCTTCGACCTCTGGCAAACGCCAGCTGCTCGGGCTAGCTTCCCTAGCACCCCCTCTTTTCTATCAGCCCTGCCCCCACGACAGCCCTCACCTGTCTGCGGGGTAACCCAGGAACAGGTAGCCGGAGGCAAAGCCCAAGATGAAGAGGATCTGCTCCAGGATCACCTGCCAGCCCAGGTCACACACCAGATCCCACTGGGGACGTGAGAAG